ATTCGTGAACATTTTTATATCAGATTTATGATGTTCATTTTGTAACGTTCAAAATTCGCGTTCATTTATGAGAGATAACTTTTTTATAGCGAATGATTCACTGAATTGTTAATTACGTTTGATTTTTTCGTGTTTATATTGTTCCGGATTGTTTTCGAGGGTCGTTTTCAACGAGAATTTTGAGTTTTTTTGGCAAGAATATGACTTATTTCAGGTATTTTGAAGAGTGTCAAAATTGAATTTTTCAAATCGTTGAAGTGATGAACGAAGGGAAACCGATTGCAAGTCCGCTTGCGCCCTTAGTGAAGTGGAAAAAAATTGTCAACACAACAGGACCAACACCTCGGTAACTAATAAATCATTCTGATCAGTTCATCTTGCTGCCCGGTCTCACCTATTATCTCATCCCAGCACAACACTTTCATGTTGAACAGCTCTATGTTAAACATTCAAATGAAACGATTTCAGACCTCGGCATGGGCATCGCGCTGTTGCCATTAAAGACCTCATGATCGTGTTCGGTGGAGGGAACGAAGGCATAGTCGATGAATTGCATGTCTACAATACAGGTTAAAACATATGTTTCGTAAGCTTATTACTCCAAGTTGCACTGAATGACTCATAGCTTTCTGAGACCGTATCATTATGTTGCTCGACAGTTTGAGGTGAAACCATACCAAGTTGCTTCTCTCAAACGTCAGCATCTTATTATCACTTCCATTAATCCATGTTAAGTCAGAAATTTTTTGAACCAATTTCATGCGCTTCCACAATAGAGTTTGTTGACGCATGTCAGAAATGTACTGAATGAAGTTGGTGATGAGGGATGAAAATGGGTAAATTTTCAGCCACAAATCAATGGTTTGTACCGGCAGTTCGAGGTGATATCCCGCCTGGATGTGCAGCTTATGGGATTGTTTGTGATGGCACGAGGATATTCATCTTCGGTGGTATGGTGGAATATGGAAGGTCATTTGATAAGTATCGCTTACAATTATTAAAGGATTGCGACTAGAAAATTCTTCCGAAAAATTACATTAAAGAAAATGCACTTCTTAATCACAGAATCAGATCATAATGTGATATTAGTTGTTGCTCTTTATGGTATCAATAATATTTCGGTTGATGATATTCCAGGTACTCGGCAGACTTGTACGAGCTACAGGCTAGTCGTTGGGAATGGCGAAGATTACGAGCGAGGCCGCCAAAATCTGGACATCCTGGACCGTGTGCCAGATTGGGACATACATTCACGCTTGCTTCAAATCAGGTACGCATGCCATTTGCATCAGTGGCCATTGGCCCTATGAAAATAAGTCAAAATGTTCTTTTGCATTCGAACGATTAAAGAGCACTGAAACCCAAATCTTGTTCAAAACTTTCTCTTCGATTTTCTCAATTAATCTGATTAACTTTTCCATATGTTTTGAATAGATAATTGATTTTTGTTTTGCATTTTTGAAGTATTTTTCAAATCGATCTGTTGTTGTGACCAAACAAGAATGGCATTTTGAGGTGTGTTACGTGTTTGGTGGATTGGCTAACGATAGTGCAGATTTGAAGAATAATATACCGCGATATTTGAACGATTTATTCATTATCGATTTGCGATATGGATCAAATAATTTACAATGGGAGTGCCCACAGGTTGCTTGGAGTTCTTGCATTGTCATCGTTTCATTCTCATCAGACGGTTCCTAGAATTTCGGCTGGAAATGAAAATTTTTTAGTCTGTAACAAGAACAGGCGATAAGAAAAAATTTCTAAAATTTCCAGACCTATGGTATGAGTCCACCGCCTCGCGAATCGCATTCGGCCGTAATGTTCGAGCAAGACTCTGGTCGAAAACAGTTGATAATCTATGGAGGTATGAGCGGTTGTCGATTGGGCGATGTTTGGATCTTGGATATTGGCTCAATGACATGGTCAAATCCTCAACCGGACGGTGTTCCGCCTCTTCCCAGATCGTTGCATTCGGCAAATATCGTTGGTGATCGGTAAACTCTTTCATTCATTCAACAAACAATTTAGTTGATCCTTATTCGAGTGAAAGGATCATTTGAGTGAATGGCTACGGCATGATTATATTGAAGAATGGGTGAATACTTTCTGATTTTTGAATGTTTCATACTAAAAACTGATTTTAAGGATGTTCGTCTTTGGTGGTTGGGTACCGNTGGTAATCGAGGATACGAAATTACAACAAAATGAGAAAGAATGGAAATGTACGAATACGTTAGCATCGTTGAATTTGAGAACGATGTGTTGGGAGCCACTTTCGATAGAAGTTTTTGAAGGTTAGCTGCAAGAGTCTTCTCATTTGTTTTCTTCAACTATAGCTTTTATATTACGCTGTCATAATTGAAAGGTTTCGATTCATTTTCTAAAAATATCTTTATGTTGATTTGGTCAAAAATTTTTTGAATACAATTCATACTTTTGTTCCAATTTCATGATGATATACTTCTATGGGTTAACAGCTCGAGAGTTCAGTTCTGATTCTGAGTTGAAGTAGTAGTTGTTGAGTTGTTTGTTTGAATCACCAATGGAGCAATAAGATTTAGATGCCGTACCTCGTGCACGTGCCGGACACAGTGCTGTTGTCATCAACAAACGATTGTATGTTTGGTCTGGTCGTGATGGCTATCGAAAGGCATGGAATAATCAAGTAATCAGTTTGCTTTGATTTTTTCGTTGGACATAATTCTTGTGCTTTCATCTCATAATTGATTAATACTGATTGATAATAATACCTATCAGACCTGAATATATAATTTACCTCAGTTCTCGCTGTCATTGAGAAATCTTCTCATATGTTGATTGATTATCCTAACTTACAGCTAGCTCAATTTATGCAACTTCTTTAATACCCGTTTGCTTTTGATTGGAACTGAAGTATCGTTGCGATTATAACTTATTCGGGGTTATGTATATGAGAAAAGAACTGTTCAAGAACATGAAACTGTGCATTTAAAAGAGTAATCTTTTTGAAGGTATGCTGTAGAGATATGTGGTATCTAGAGACGGATAAACCGATAGCGCCTGGTCGAGTGCAGTTGGTAAGAGCATCTGTGTCCGGACTAGAGGTGTGCTGGAATGCTGTTCCGACGGCAGAAGCGTATCTCTTGCAGTTGCATAAATATGATGCGCAGCTGAAACATGACGATGACGGTAGGAAATGTTGTGTTCGTTTAGTATTCATTGCCTTTTGCAAAGAGTGAACTAATTCCTAATCGTTGTAGGAGTTCATTGACTTCAGTGATCCGATTATTTTTCATCTGAAGTGAACAATGAATTGTTTAGAAGTTTTGCATTTCAGTTCTCAGAAGTTAAGTGTTCTGAACATGTGACTGCGCAAGTTTTTGATTTTGTAAGGTGTGCGATTGGTAGATAGTAACTGTGTTTTGATACCTCAATGCTAAAAACATGGAATGGAATTCTACATCTGGA